GGGATCCTGTTTCAGTGTTTCCATACCAGCACCTACTCTGCTTTAGATGGTGCCCTCTCGCTGTACCAGTTATTATATATTTTGGTTATTACCTCCAGAAAATAACAATACTTAATTCAGAGAGTATGTGGCTATTCAGCCAATTGTAGTTCTGAATCAGCTAAGACCTGTGAAGAAGGCAGAAGAAATTGTTGAACAGTGAGAATAGATGCCATAAACTACAGGCACTAATGATCACATACTTTCCTTATAAAGAACTTCGTGACAACTTAGACGGTCACAATACAGGTCTAGGCATTTGAAGTGTGAGCTTTCTATCACTAGAAGTAGACAGATTCAAACAACCTCCAAGGGCCCTTCTTAGCATATGATATTTCAAAAACAGTCAGCTGTGCAAATTCCTCCCTAAACATATACCTAGCGTGTTACATGAGTTTCATGAGAGCTAAATAAGTAAATAACCAGATGCTGCCTTAAGGCCTCTGTTAGCTTGATCTGGGTTAAGACACATGGTGGCTGCAAGAGTCAGCTGCCTAAGTGTGAGCCTCTGATTATGGACTTCGTCTCAGAGCACTGCTCATCCATGGCGACCGAGAGAATGTGGCACGAAACCACAAGCATTTGGGATATCCGGATGTTCAGGAAGGAAGTGGTTTGGTTTTGGGAATAAGCAGTTGATCTTCATGAGGACAGTGGTACCAATGAAGGAAGCATTTATTTTCTGTCATAAAACTGAAATGGGAGGAATTCCTAGTGTCCTGAAATTGATGAGGCAGCTGTAGCTCTGCATCATTCCAGAGGGACACACACTCCCTAGCGCTTCTAGTCTCTGCAGTTTGGAGTCGGTGCAGTGGCTCTGGGAGGCTAAGGTCAGTCCTCTGAGGAAGGCTGCACGTGAGGGCCTGGGAGTGACGAGCAAGGGGAGTAGAAACAGGCACAAAGAACTGGTCAGAGACGCTCTGGGCGGTCTGGGTATAATATCAGTATGGCTCCGGCAGTGGCTTCTTGCCAGGCGGCCAACTTGAACAACTTGAATGTGCTTTGATTTTTCTCCTCTGTTAAATGGGGATTCTAGTATTTCCCCCATACCTTTTCTTAGCAGTTGTGTTATGTGGTTGGCCATGGTAAGTGTCAATAATGACTTTTGCAAGGAACTAGGAAGCAAAGTGGCTTCTGGGAAAGGGAAATATCCTGGGGGCCTGTAGCTATGAGACCCCTGGAACCCCACATGCTCTCTGACCAAATTTGGTTGGGTTGTATATCTACCTTAAGTTAAAAAATGTTGAATTCCAGGAAAATGGAAAGAACTAGAAAAACTGACACCTGTATTCTGCCTTCTTGAATGCACCAGTTCCTAACATCTGGCTCTGCACACACGCACCCACACTCATTTCCTCCTGTGAGCCATCGGAAAGCAGTATGCAGGCATCATGACACCTCACTCCTGTGTGATTCTAAATAATACTTTTCCAAAAACAAAGATATTTTTTACTTTCCTAGTCAATCATAATATCATTTTAATATCTAAGGGAACATTAATTCAATAATATCTAACACATAGTCAAGAGTCAAATTTCCCCAATCGTTTCCAGAATGTCATCAGTGTCGAGGTCAAGCGTCGCGTCAACTCAGCAGACTTGGGTCTGCAGCAGCTTCTCCTTCTCCCTCTGTTCCTTCCTGTTGAATCTTTGGAGCGTCCAGGCCTGGCATCCTGCAGGTCACTCCGTGGGTTCCTGCCACCGTCCCCACGTTGGGCTGTATTTCTGAGCCAGCCCCTCTAGCCCGGGTCTTATGAGTCATAGTGGCTTTGAGGCTGTAGACTGAGGCCTTGCTGGAGTTGGAGGGTAAGCCCTTAGAGGACTAGGGGTAAATTTTTGTACACATTTGAAGGGCCAACCTCATTCACATGCCTCCAAAGAACTCCAGGTTCCTTCTATCCCTACTCAGCCACGCTTTCACCATGGTTACTAGAAAGTTGGTCAGACTTGCTAAACCACAACCACTGGTCTCATTCCTAAAACATGAAGCAGAAAGAGAACAGGGGTGTTGGATTCATTTTTCTTTCGTGGTGGTGATGTGGGCTCACTCTCAAGGCACAAAAAGTACAATGGTGGTTGAATGCAGATTAGGAAGAAGAGCATTTGTTATTTCTGTCTTGGGTATTTGTGAAGAAATCTCCCTCTCCAGCTTGCCCCATAACAAACTGACATGTTACAGGCTGCAAACTGGGCTGAGACTGAGTTGTGAAATGTCAGGTGAGTGAATGGAAAAATGGCGTCTCACCATCACAAGCCACTCCAGCATTTATATAGTTCCTCTCATTTTCCCAGGTATCCATAGTCATGAAGACAGAATGATCACTTTGCAGATGAGGAAATAGAGATAAAGTGAGATATGCCCAGAGTGAGATATTGCCCAATGTCACCCAGCTTGCCGTGGGGGGCAGACCTGGGATTAAAGCTTGTCTCCTATGACCAGCCCTATGCTTTGTCTGATATCCACAGTGATGGAGTCATTACATTTTGTATTTAGATGCCTGAGGAACCAGGTTTGGAATGGCAGGTGCTGGGGAAGAAAACATGATTAATTCAGCAGACGCGAGAGACTCTCATAGTAGTTAAAATCAAAGCACAGTGTTCCACTGCTGTATCCTCGAATCTTGAAACATGGCTAAGTGTGGCATTCTCTCTGTAAGAGCAGAGCTCTTTGCTTCTTGAAAACGTTTTTTGGGCCTGCCAAAATCATAGTTCTTTGACCGTTAGAGTGTGAGTCAAGATACTATGTGAAAGTAACTTTTTCTTGGGTTGTCATAATGGATTGTTTGTCTTTTAAATTGCAAACTGAATCAGTTTCAGAGCTATATCTTTCATACAGGCATTATCCTTCTGAAGTAATTATGTGAAAATCTCTTTTCCTCTTCCACAGGTGTGTAAATACTGTTTGCAATTATCAGGTGTCTGTCTTCACATGTCTATTACAGAGGGTATTTTCAGAAGTTCTAATTCTATACAAAATTTCAGATCATGGCCTAGATTGTACTTTGATGATAAAAATAGATTTTAGGGTAATTCTTCTCAACCAAGTTGTAATATCATCACTGTGATTTATTTTTTGCATGTAAAATAAATATATTTGTTCAACTAGGTCTCCTTTTTTATTAAAGAAAATGTATTTTCAATTCCCTATAGAAAGGAAGGAAGGAAGGATGGAAGAAAGAAAGAAGGAAGAAAAAGAAAACTGGTCATCAATCTGTACTAAGTCACAGTTCAGTTTTTTTTTTTTGTGAGTTGTCTTGGTTGTGGATTTTTAAAGCTCTTTTCAATGTTTATTGAAAATATGGAAAATCTCTAGGAGTAAAGGAATGGATAGTCAGGAAGAGGCACATCTGTTTCAGAGGTTTTGGCAGCAAGTAGCAGAAACAAACAAAAATAAGCCTTCAGACTGCTTCTAATAATAACATTTGTTGGCTCCTGCAATGAGGAAGTTAAAAATGGTGTGGTCTTCAAGGTGTGTTGATCTGATGACTCAGTGTCATCATTAGGGACTCAGGTTCTTTCCATGTAACCAGTCTGTTAAGTACAGTACGAACTTTGTTCTAAGGCTGGATGTTCTTGGGTTCAAAACACGCTTGTCAGTAGCAACTGGAGCCATATGAGTCCTTATTCAGATTTAGTTTGAAAGAGAGATAATATTTTCCTATGGTTCTCTCTAGTGTTAGGAAGACTTCCCAGAAGACCCCAGAACAACATCCCTTATGTCATATTAACCTGTTTTGAGTCATGCGCCCAATTCCTGTTACACTTAGACCTAGTATCTTAGGGTGGGTTTCTCAGGAAGCAAACTGAGATAATTTGTAAACAGGAGGTTTATTGGAGGGGGCCCTCCACTCAGTGCTTGTTGGGGGATGAAGGAAGTAGCACTGGGCAAAGGGAGGAATTAACTCTTAACTTCGTCAATTTCCCTGGGAACTCTTGAGCTGAGATGGCCCTTCAGAACTGCCCTTTGCACCAAGACTGCTCCAGCTTTATACTTTCACCATGCATGGTCACTGGATGTGAGCCGACTTCATGAGGCCCTGGGCAAGGTGGCTTTCTTTGGCTTGCTTTTCCAGGGCAATGCCTAGAGAGGGACTCAGCTGACAGGCATCAATTACTGACATCCCAGCAGCTTGGTTGGGGGGAGCTGGGTATTTTGGTTCTGAGTGGAGGGCTTTGGGCAGCACATGACAGCACAAACTACATTTCATTTCTTGAACCATTTCAATCAGTTTTCTTCGTATAATAAGGATTCTGATTGCCCTGTGTTCCTGGGGAACTTAAAAAAGGAAGGTTACCTGTCAGGATGAATTGCTGCCCCTTTAAGAGATGAGGGGGTTGAATTTGCAACAACATGGATGGAGCTAGAGGGTCTTATGCTCAGTGAAATAAGCTAGGTGGAGGAAAACAAGTACTAAATGATTTCCGTCATTTGTGGAGTACAACAACGAAGCAAAACTGAAGGAACAAAAAAGCAGCAGACTCACAGACTCCAAGAAGGGACTAGCGGTTACCAAAGGGGAAGGATGGGGAAGGGCGGATGGGGAGGGAGGGAGAAGGGGATTGAGGGGTATTATGATTGGTGCACATGGTGTGTTGGGGTGTCATGGGGAAGACAGTGTAGCACAGAGAAGGCAAGTAGGGACTCTGTGACATTTTACTACATTGATGGACAGTGACTTCAGTGGGGTATGGGGGGAACTTGATAATATGGGTGAATGTAGTAACCACAATGTTTTTCATGTGAAACCTTCATAAGAGTGTATATCAATGATATCTTAATTAAAAAAAAAGAACTGAGGGGGTTGAGTAAAGTCAGCTTGCCAACAAGTAGCTGGTTGCTCTCTTCAGAGGGTGACACTACCACCTCTCTCTTCCACCTGCAGTAGTAGGTGGACTGGGAAAGAATATCAGAATTTGAAGTACCACCAAACTAACAGAGAATTTACCATATTTTTTTCTCAGATGTCTCCAGCCTGATCTTCACACTGTCAAAATCCAGAAGTAAGCTATGTTTTCATAAGTAAGTTATGAAATAGAGAAAAGCCCAGGAAAATCCCTTTAGTTCTGGCTTGAAGCAGAAAAGAGAACTCTTAGAAATAAGAGATCGAGGGAATCACCCTGGTGTTCCTCTGTCTCCTTTTGCTGCGTGTATTTTTTCCCTCAGGCCCAGGCAGTCCTGTGGCTGGGGCAGTGTCGGCCAAGACAGCCACCGCAGAAAACAGCAGGAGCCCAAGTTCCGAGGGCAGGTGGTGCTCACTTTTCATTTAGAGGAGCTGCAGTTCTGAGAGGCAGTTGGCTGACACGTCTCCCTTCCACTTTCTTTCTTTTTTTCTTAACCCTCTTTCTGTCCTCTTGTCATTTGGACTGCAGATATGACTTAAACACAGAAGTGCATGGTTTTTGGCTGATGGACTGGAAAAGGGACCAGAAAGTTCTGGGGAGGGAACAGAGAAGGCAGAGGTCAATAAGTGGATTCCGTAAAATTGGGTTATCTGCTTGTGTCGGTGGATCTGTTCCTAAGCAGCATTCCGAAGGCCATGAGAGCTGAGCTAACAGACCTCTTCCCAAGTCCCAGATTAGTCACTAAGTTACACACTAAGAGGACAGATCTGAATAGCACTTTAAGCCTCTGCAATCTGAACTGACATTGTAGTCACAGCCCATAGAAAATGACCTGGAAGGTATGACTTGACCCTAACTTAGCCTGCTAAAACAAAAATATCAACATTTTCTCATAGGATTTAAATAAGACCCTGAGTCTCATGAAGTAATACTAAAAATGTCTAGGATAAAATCCAAAATTACATGACATATGAAGAACTATGAAATTCTCAACTTAATTTGGAAAAGACAGTTAAAAGATGCCAATGATGACATAACACAGATGTTGGAATTGACAGTCTTGTAAACAGAGATTATAAAAATGTTCAAAAGAGCAATCATGAACACTTTTTGAAATGAAGTTAAAATGGGAAGTTAAAATAAAAATAGAGATACAAAGAAGAATCAAGTGGAAATTTCAGAACTGCAAAACACAATAACCAGAATTTTAAAATTCACTGGAAGGGCTCAATAGCAGAATAAAAATGACAGAGGGAAAAAACAGAGAGAAAAAGATTGAAAAAAATATAGAACAGGACCTCAAGGTCATATGGGATGACATGAACAGGTCTAATATTTGTGTAATCAGACTCCCAGAGGAGAGAAGAAAGAATATGGTTTGAAAGAAAAAAGGTTTGAAGAAACATGGCTGAAAATGTCACATGTTTGGAGAAAGACATGTACCTACAAATTTAAGAAGCACAGCAAACCCCAAACAGGATAAAATCACAGATATCCATGCCCAAACATATCATACTCAAATTTCTGAAGCAGCAAAGATGAAGGAAAATTCCTGAAGCAGCTGGAGAGAAACAATCCATTATCTACAGGAGAACAATGATTTGGTGACAGTGATTCTCTCCAGAAACTGTGGAGATCACAGGAAGTACCACACTGTTTCTCAAGTGCTGAAATAAAAAGAACTGTCAGTCTAGAATTCTGTATACAGCAAAAATATCTTTTTCAAGCATGAAAGTGAAACAAAGTCATCCTCAGACAAAGAAAGACTAAGGGAATTTGTACCCAGCAGAACTGTTTAAAGAATTGTTGAAGGGAATTCCACAGATAGAAGGGAAATAATACCAGAAAGGAACTTTGAACATCAAGAATGAGAAAGAGCAATAGGGTTGGTAAATATTTGGGTAAATATTATAGACTATTATTCTCCTCTTGAGAACTTCAAAAATATGTTTTATGGTTGAGAGCAAAGGTATATCATTGTCTGATGAACTTTTCAGTGTATGTAGGTGTGACATTTAAAACAATGCCTCTAACATAATGAAGGGCAGAGTAAAGGGAATTTTCTGGTGTTAAGGTTTTTATGTTCCAATTGGCAAAATAGTGAAAAGTATGTATTTTGTAATCTCTAGAGCAACTACTAAAAAAACTATATAAAGATACTGTCAATATCATAATAGATAAATTAGAATAGAACACAAGGTGCTCAAGTACTGCCTCCCCCCCCAAAAAAAAGGCAAGTAAGGGGAAACAGAAATGAGAAACAGAGAGAATGAATAGAAAACAATAATAAAATAATAAAAATAACTCTAAACATACCAGTAATTTCAGTAAATGTAAATCCTTTCAATACACTAATTAATTATTAAGATCATTAGAGTGGATTTAAAAAAATTTCTTAACTATGTCCTGTATATAAGAAATGCATTTCAAATATGATGATAAAGATAGATGAAAAGTTAAAGGATGGAAAAAGACATATCATGCAAAAACTAACAAGAAGGAAACTGTAATGGTTATGTTAATGTCAAAGTATATACTTCAAAGGAAAGAAAATTAGCAGGATGAAAAGGCATATTACATATTGATCAGAGAAGGATTAGAAAGGCCATTTCACCAAGAAGACACAGAAGCTCAAAACTGTATGAATCTCACAACAGCTTCAATATATATGAAGAAAAACTGACAGAACTAAAAAGAGAATAGACAGAAAAATATTACAGTTGTAGAGATCAACACCCTCTCTCAGTAATAGAGAGAACCAGCAGACAAAACATCAGCAAGGATATAAAGCTGAACAACACCATTAACCAACTGAATCTAACTGACATTTATAGAACACATATTCTTTTTAAGTGCACACAGAAGTCTCCAAGAGAGACCATATCCTGGGTCATAAATGAAGTCTTAACAATTTTAAAAGATTTAAAATTCTGCTAAGTATATTCTCTTAAGAAGCAAAATGGAAAGACCTAATGTGTTCATGGATTGGGAGACTCAACATAGTAAAGATTTCAGTGTTCTCTAAATAATCTACAGGTACTTCATCAGAGAAAACATAAGAATTGAATTAAGCACATGAAAAGATGTTCAACTGCACTAGCATAATAATTGCTATTGTTATGGCCTTTTTGTTCTTTCTTGCATTTATAAATGCAAATTAAAGCATGCTAAATAACATTACACATTTGTTAGAATTGTTAAGATAAAAAATATTGACAATACCAAGTACTAACCAAGATGTGGAGCAACTGGAACTCATATACTGAGGGCAGAAAAAATGGGTTTGGACACTTGTTATAAAGTTAAATAGGACCCAACTATCCCCCTCCTGAGTATGTTTAATCTAGAGAGAAGAAACTGTACACAAATATGTATAGCAACTCTAGTAATAATTTCTAAAATCTGGAAACAATTCAAATATCCTTCATTGTGTGAATGGATAAACTGTAGTACACACATAAAATGGAATAGTACTCAGCAGAAATAATGAACAGACTACTTGCAACAATTTAGATCTGAAAGGCATTGTGCTGAGTTAAAGATGCTGGTGTCAAAAGGTTATGAGCTAGGTGATTCCATTTATATGACACTCCTGAAAAGACAAAACTATAGTGATGGAGAGCAGATTAGTGATTGTTAGAGGGTAAAAATGGGGGAGGATGTGACTATAAAAAGATGGCATGAGGGAGTTTTGGGGAGTGATAGCATTATCCTGTATCCTGGTTGAGATGGTGACAACATCTATCTATTTGGGATGGGGACTGGTAGGGTAGGGGAATGTTTTAATTGCTATTATTAGGGCCTTTCTGTTCTTTCACTTTTAAAGTCAGTTTATTAAGCTCAATGATGAGAGTTATCAGAAAAATACCCTGAAAATTAATTTTTCTTAGGAAAAAAGAAAACTAAAATTGTCTCAGCATCACCGCAGATGTTGAGGCATTCAAGCCCAAGCACACCTCCTGTCACGTGCTGTCCGGTTTCCTGGATGGTCCTCTTCATCCTCAGCGGTAAGCCATCCACTTCCTGGAGCAGGTTCATCTACTTCCTCGTCTCCATCGTCCTCCGAGAACTGGAGATTAGGTATGTCAAGATTATTACCTGCTTCAAATTGCTCTCCCAACCCCTGTCTTCAGGTTAATTGTTTTTTCCTACTTGTTCTTCTTTCTTCATTTGGTTCTTAGTTTTCAGAGCCCTGTACTCAACTTTGCCTTTCAACTCAGATTCTCAATGTAACAGAAATGCCATGGATTAAATGTACTTTGGCTTCTTCTGTTTTCCTTCCTTTCTTTTTTCCTTTTAATTCTTTTATAGTTTTTACATGTTCTACTATTTCATTTACTTTTTCCTGTACAGTCAACACTTACGCAAAAATCATTATCATAGCAAGGTTTTCCTCCATGTGTAGCATTAGTAATTTAAAAATGTCTGAGAAATCTCATTTTCCTTGGGGATAACACTTCGTATGTGGAAAGTTTTTTCCTATATGTAAACTTGAGGATTTCTGGACAGTTTGCCATTTTCTCCAGCATTGCCTGTTATAGGATGATGAAACTGGTTGGATCTCCTGACACTCCTCAGCAGGATCTTGGGAAGTGAGGCGTCCTTGAAGTAGAATGTGGAGTCAGGGTAGTCCACACATGTTTTGGAAGGCTAGTTGTTAGAGGGATGGATCACTGTGGAGTCAAGCTGAAGAGCAGAGCAAGTGGACCCCAGAGTTTTCAGCTCCTTGCACTGCTCCTTGACGTGAGATGTCATCATGGCCCTTGCTGTGGCCCATGGGTTGCCCAGACATGGACTGAGCGAGGCACATGGCCACACTGTGTATCATCTTCTATTCTTGCTTTTGATTTTAATTTTGTGCATGTAATATTTTGATATTTTTAAAATGCTGTATGTCTTAGTCAGTTTGAGCTGTTGTAACAGAATACCACAGATTGGGTGGCTTAAACAGCAGACATTGACTTATCACAATTCTATATATAGGCTGCGAAGTCCAAGATCAGGGTGTCTGCATGGTTGGATTTGATGTGAGCCCTCTTCCTGGTCTGTATGCCTTCTTGCTCTCTCCTCACATTCTGAATACGCCTAATTTCTTCATAAGGGCAATGTTCCCCATGTATTGGGATTGACCCTTCCTAACCTTGCTGCATAAGCTTTGTTGCTTGGTTTTTTTGCCGCTGCTGATATGCTGGTTTCCAAGCATATTTTTATATTGCTTCCAGAGAGTGACCTGCCTAAACAATTAGATTTAGTTTACTGAGACATATGCTGTGCCTGCCATTTTTTTTGGTTCCCCTAAAGGCTCAGAAGTATGCTCAATAAATGCTGAGAGGCTAATGAGTTATGTGGATGCATATATAATTCTAATGCCTGGACTCTGTGCAGTAGCCCTCTAGTCTCAGCTGCTGCTCCTTTCACCCCAGACATATAGATGGTGTATGTGGTGGAGGTAGGGACTGGGATTTTAAATAAGTCAATGTCTGTAAACAAGGTGAAGTAAAATGTTTTCTCAGTGAATTTGATTAAAGAGTCATGTAGAAGTATCTTGAGGAAAGTGTGAGAAGCATACTCACTGGTCCAAACTCAATAAGTGGACACAGAGACAAAGAGAACAGCGGAGCGAGGCTTTAATGACGGTCATACGAGATTGGCTGTGTGATAGGCAGGCACACTTGGGACCATTGGCACACGTAATTTATTCTCTAGTATGCGAGTCCTCCCCTGGTTCCTCATTGGCTGAGTACTGCAGGGCTCACATTCTTTCCTGGAGTCGCCCAAGCCAATTATATCCATATTGGGCCTTCTCTTACATTTGTCTTAATTTTATTGGTAGGTTTAAAAAACCCAAATAGGTATAGCCAGGTCCTTACCAATTCCCCACCCCACAAACTCCCACTTTCAGCCTGAGCAGCCTCCTGGCACATTTTCCAACATGTGGCCCTATGTTAATACCTTACTGTTAAAGTGTTTAAACCTCCTGGTGGGAATAAAACACATTTAGGTTTTATGCTTTTTCTAACAGAAAGGAAAGATGGTATGACCCCAAGAAGTATCAAAGGGATGGAGTCCCTGGGGTTCAGATATGTTCCTTAGCTTAGCAGATAGAACCTAGATATTTTTAAATAGATCATTTTTTGAGAGGAGGTTTAGGTTCATAGCAAAATTGAGCAGCAAGTGCAGAGATTTCCCATATATCCCTGAACCTGCCCATACATAGCTCTCTCCACCACATTTGCTACAATTTTGGACATGCATCTGTACTTTTTATCACCTGAAATCCACAGTTACTATGGATTCACTCTTCATGTTGTACATGCTTTGGGACAAATGTATGACATGTATCCATCATTGTACTGTCTATCATACAAAATAGTTTCACTGTCCTAAAATCCTTTGAGCTCCACCTATTCCTCCCTTCCTTCCTCTGCTCCTTGGCAACTACTGATCTTTTTATTATCTGTGCAGTTTTGCCTTTTCCAAAATGTTGAACTTATATAGTACATAGCTTTTTTAGATGGGTTCCTTCACTTGGTAATATTCATGTAAGGTCACTACTTGTCTTTTCCTGGCTTGATAGCTCATTTGTTTTTAGCACTGAATAATAGTTAGTTGCCTGGCTGTACCAGAGTTTGCTTATCCATTCAGCTACTGAGGACATTTGGTTGCTTCTAAGTTTTGGCAATTGTGAATAAAACTGCTATAAATATCCACGTTCAGGTTTTGTTTAGACATAAGTTTTCAGTCATTTGGGTAAATACCAAGGAGTGTGATTGTTGGATCATATGATGAGAGCATGTTTAATTTTGTAAGAAATCACTAAACTGTCTTCCACAGTGGTGATACTGTTTTGCATCCCTGCCAACAGTGGGTGAGGGTTCCTGTTGCTGTACATTCTCAACAGCATTTGCTATTGTCAGGATGCTGGATTTTGGCTGCTCTAATGGGGTGTATAGAGGTATCTTGTTTTAGTTGCATTTCTGTAGTGAGGTATGTATGGATCTTCTTCATATGCTTATTTTCCAACTATATATCTCCTTTGATATGGTGCCTGTTAAGGTGTTGGCCTATTTTAAAATGAGGTTGTTTGGTTTCTTTCTGTTGATTTTTAAGAATTCTTTGTATATTTTGGATAACAGTCCTATATCAGATATGTCTTTTGCAAATATTTTCTTGAGACTGTGACTCTTTTTTTTTATTGTTTGAAGTATCTTTCAGAGAGCAGAAGACTTGAGCTTGAATGAAGTCATGGGTCTGCTCCTTTGGTCTTGTATCTACAAAGTCAGAACCAAACCCTAGATCACTGAGTTTTTTTCTTATCTTGTCTTCTAGATATACTATAGTTTTCAGTTTTCCATGTGGGTCTGTGCCATTTTGAATTAATTTTTGTAAGGGGTATAAGGTCTGTGGCTAGATTTATTTATTTTTTTCATGTGGTTGTCCAGTTCCAGTACCATTTGTCAAATACACTATCTTTTCTCCATTGTTTTGTCACAAATAAGTTGTCTATATTCATGTGGGTCTATTTCTGAGCTCTCTATTCTGTTGCATTGATCTGTGTGTTTATTCTTTCACCAGAACCACTCTATCTTAATTATTGTAGATCTATAGTAAGTCCTGAAGTTGGCTAGCATCAGTCCCCCAACTCTTCTCCTTCAGTATTGTGTTTGCTCTCCTAGGTCTTTCATCTCCATGTATACTTTAGAGTCAGTTTATCAATATCTGCAAAATAACTTGCTCGGATTTTGGTTGGGATTTCATTGCATCTATAGATCAAGTTGGGAAGAACTGAAATCTGGATAATATTGAGTCTTTCTATCCATGATTCTGCAATATCTCCCCACTTACTTAGTCCTTCTTTGATTTCTTTCATAGAGTTTTACCATTTCTGAATATAGATATTATACATATTTTCTTAGATTTATATCTATTTCATTTATGCAGATTTCAGTGTAAGTGGTATTGTGTTTTTAATTTCAGTGTAACTTGTTTATTGCTGGTAAATTGGAAAGCAATGGACTTTTTAATATTAACCTTGTATGCTGCAACCTGGCTATAACTCCTAATTAGTTCTAGGAATTGTCAATTCCCTCAGATTTTCTGTATAGAGGATCATGTCATATGTGAAAAAAGTCTGTTTTATTTCTGCCATTCCAATCTGTATAAATTTCATTTCCTTTTTTGTCTTATTGTAATAACTATGACTTCCAGTACAATGTTGGAAAGCAATAGTGAAGGAGAAGTTTGTTGCTGATCTTAGTGGGAAAGCTTTAGGTTCCTCAACAGTAAGTATGATGATGTTAGCTTTAGGTTTTTTGGTTGGTATTCTTTATCAAGTTGAAGTTCCCCTCATTTTTAGTTTACTGTTTCTCTTGTGAATAGGTGTTTCATTTTGTCAAATGTGTTTTTGCATCTATTGATAGGATCATGTGATTTTTCTTCTTTTGCCTGTTGATATGATGGATTACATTAATTGATATTTCTAATGTTGAACCATCATCCTTGCATACTTGAAATTAATAAAACTTTGTAGCAGAATATAATTCTTTTCATTGTTGAATTTGATTTGCTAATATTTTGTTGAGGATTTTTGCATCTGTGTTCATGAGAGATATTGGTCTGTAGTTTTTCATTTTCATAATGTCTTTGGTTTTGGTATTAGGATAAGCTGGTCTTGTAGAATGAGTTTGGAAGTATTCACTCTGATTCTATTTTCTGAAGGAGATTATCAGGAATGCATATAATTTTTTCCTTAAACATTTGGTAGAATTCACCAGTGAATGTATCTGGGATTGATGCTTCCTGTTTTGTGAGGTTAATAATTATTGATTCAATTTTGTAATAGATAAAGCCTATTCAGATTGTCTATTTCTTGTTGTGTGAGTTTAGCAGATGGTGTCTTTCAAAGAATTGTTCCATTTCATCTAGGTTGTCAAATTTGTAGGAAGAGTTATTCATGGTATTGCTTTATGTCTTTTTAACGTTTATGATATCTGCAGCGATGTCCTCTCTTTAATTTCTGCTTTAGTAGTTTGTGTCCTCTCCCTTTTATTCTTAACCTGGCTAGCTGCTTATGGATTTTA